GACCATCCAAACGTGATGCCGACAGTAGTTCATCCGACGACACTAGTTGAGCCTCCAGCGGAGATGATAATTAACCGGATTTTTTTCATCAGGTTTAGGTTTCTTCAAATATCTTGTCTTCAAATCTTTGTGCAGTTTTTTCAATCGGTAGTGGTGAGTTTTTTTTTGAATAAACAAAAAAACCAATAAAAGTACAAAAATAAGGTATTGTATTACATTGCAAGACATTAAAATACTTAGAACGAACAATAAAAGTTTTCTTCATATATCGACCGCTCGTCAAATTGGCTTCATGGGATTAGAAAATGCGCACACATAAGAGAGTCTTAACAAAAGTACAAAATAATGTAAGACTGACTTCGGTTTATGGTCAACAGATTACTTTATTGATGAAGATTTTTGTTATTATACAGTGTTTGATAAATTTTGTTACGAAGGATCTTTATTCAGAGTTGAACTTTTCCCATTCGTTTCTTTTATCTGTGTGGTGGATGACCTTATAGAAGAAAAGCAAATAAAGTTTGTTTTTGGGCAGAAAGTTTGTTTTATGAAATAGACGTGCTCAATGTTTCAACCTTGTGTTTGAGAAAAATATATTGACAAGTATTATTAATATAAACCTTACACACCCTTTTTGTCTTGTAGAATACAATCAATATTCATATAATGGATACATTGAATTTGAACAATGATAAAAGATTTGTATTTTATATGATTTATATTAAATGAAAAGTGATAATTTCAATGGAAGTTGTAGTGTTTTTTCCTCGTTAACTGTAAGAATAACCACATAAATCCTAGTTGAAACCTCTTTCTTCAGATAAACCGTGCTTAGTAGTATCACGATGATTCAAAATTTAATCAATTATTAGAATTAACCACCGTTTGAGCGATTCCTTATGCAACCATATATATATATTCTGCTACAGTTTTGAGCTTCTCTGAACTCATTCGCTTACTTCAACTATGACTGCAGTTGCTCAAAATGACTTCGTATATCCGAAACTTTATTCTTAAACAAGTTGCATCTTAAAGACTTTTACCTTTTGAATCATCCTCTTTTCATTCACTCCCATTACTCTTACCCTCTCCCGATGAGAAGCATAGAGTTTAACGTGCTGCGATTACATTGAAAAACGCCAAATGTTGGTCGTTCAAACGTTGGTTGACGAAATTTGACAACATAACACAATCAACCAACAGTCACGTAAATCTCGAATTTTTGGTATATTCTTGCTCTTGTCTTATATGTACGTCCGAGAAAAGATAAAAAATCCCAACATTAATGCGGACATTTCAATATACAATAAATTCGCTTTTTTCTCAATAAGCCAAGATCAAGCAAACTAAAGTTTGGTTAAAATGCTAATAGTAAACGTTACCTCATGTTATGATATATTTCTAAGGGTGTAATTCTACAGCCATAATATTTCATAGTTTAGTTTTGAACCAATCGCAATAATAAACGCAGATCCGTTAACTACCCCAGAATAAATTTTGAAGTATATCGTGAACATATAACACGGATTATAGATAGATAATTAGCATCATTTAAAATAATGGTATTACTCAGTATTAATTGATACTGAGAACTCGGTACTTGTGCATGCATATTTCTCTTTCCTATTCATCATTCTTACTGCGGTGCAGTGGCGTAACTAAGGGGGGGATGGGGCACACAGTAGGCCATAGCCCAATGCGATTTGAGCCTTGGTCCAATAAGAGTTTGAACTTTGTGATTTCTGCAGCTGAAAATTTGAAAAAAGGGTTTTTGTGCCAGTCTTTTCTCGAATTATCATAGTGTGGTCCAATCGTTTTTTTCGAACTAATGGAGTTGGCCCTATGATAAAAAACCCTAGTTACACCACTACTGTGGTGGACAAGTTAAGTACCAGTGATAAAAGAGACGCAAGGTAATTGTACAATCAAATTATTTCTTGTTTTTGCATAAATAAAGGATATTATTCAAGTAACTATACTAACATACACGAGTTATAACCAGTCTCAGGACGAAAACTACCCGGGTAATAATCATTCTCTCCATGATATACAATAGTTCATTGGTTATCGTTGATGCTGATCACACATCTGACGTATATTTCTGCTACCTAGTCAAGCCTCTCGACGATTCGAAACTTTCGAGTGAAGAGATTTTGATCCGCTCAGTTTATAGAGCGAGTCGAGATACATATGCGGAAAAATTATCAGACGAAACAAACAAGTTCTCACGAATATTAAAAAGTTTTGCTTTTTATTCTAAATTTTATAACATAATGTACATCGTAATCTCTGCGATATATTTGTAGCATCGAAAATAATCTGATAAAAATTGTATTTCGTGAGAAAGTAATTTATTACGTCAGGAGGTTCTCTCATGGTGTTGTTGGAATACATGACTGATCTCTAATACTTCTTAATTCTAAGAAAAAAATGAATAATTTCTATGAGTAATGTACTTTTAGAGGTTTAAACGTCATCATTGCAAGATAATGCACTTATAATTGATCAGTTACATCTTTTCTTAACAAATAGATGTCAATTTATTGTCATAGTACAATGATATCGCAGATATTTAGTATCATTATACACACAAACGAAAAGGAAAAACAAATCTAAGTATAAGTGGATAAAGCAAGAAAAAATGTTTTTTTATTTTTTCAGGGACAGTATAAATTATAACATATATTTTATTGTTCTCTGATAAGTTATTTGTTTATATATGTTTTTCGTTCCACTTCAATGGACTAGCTTGTTGTTGTTATATCTTTAATCTAATAAAAAAACCGCATACTCGATACATAAAGAGAAAAGCTCACATCATATTTAAAACCACAATAACAAGAAAATAAATAGTAACACAAACATTTCTTTTGTATAATATTAAACATATTCGTTAAAAAATGGCTTATGGTTTAGGAGGAGGATTAGGACAATATGGTATCGGCAGTGGACTTGGTGGCTGAATTTGTTCAATTATTTCAAGTTATAAATTTTCATATAAAGAATGTCAGTACTAACATAAAACAGATAACGTAAATGATCGCATAACACGCGAACATTCGAATATGGTGGAGGTTATGGTGGAGGTTATGGTGGGGGTTATGGTGGGGGTTATGGTGGGGGTTATGGTTACCAACCAGAAATTAATTTAATAGTTCCATGGACGGAAGAATTTGCAGCTAGTTATAATAGTTTTATGAATGGTGGGCTTGGAGGTGGCTTAGGGGGCCTAGGAGGTGGTTTAGGGGGCCTAGGAGGATTAGGTGGTTTAGGAGGTCTAGGAGGATTAGGTGGTTTAGGAGGTGGCTTAGGAGGTCTAGGAGGATTAGGTGGGCTAGGCGGTGGTGGTATTGGTATACCTGCACAACTATTAGGCTTTGGTGTAACTAGTACAACAATGGGTTTTGGAGGTTATGGTGGGGGACTACCTTATGGCGGCGGAGTAGCTCAATTTAATCGTTATCCAGTTGGTCCAGGATACGCACCAGGCTATGGCGGTGGTGGTCTCCTAGGAGGTGTTGAACGTGGACTAGGAGTAGGTCGATATGGACACCTTGGTGGTCTACCTTATCCAGGTAGCGCTGTGAGTGGTGTTGATCAAGCATTTGGTTTAGGTCCATATCGTGGTTATTAGGTTTGGTTGGGCTAATTATCGTGGTTATGGTCCTGGTTAAATTCATCGTGCACTTTAGATGACTTCTAATATTCATTAATAACAAAACTGAACACAATTTTTTTACTCCTACATTAGGGGAAATTTATGTTATTTTGTTTCCGTTGGAACAACTTTCGATTTATAATGACTTATAATAAATGAGATAATGAAGCTAACTTCTTTCGATATCAAAGACGTCTATCTTGACTACGTAAGAGAAGTGTGAAAGAAAGTGACTGGATGAGAACGTGTGTTTTGCCTTGATGTTTTCCTTTAAATAAAATTCGTTTAAATGATAAACACTAAAAACTAAATATTCAGAAAACTTCTAATGTCTAACGACTGTGAACTGCGCTGTAAAACTTTCTTAAAAATAATAAAACTTTCTTTTACAATTATTATACAACAGTCTACTTGTAGCATGAAGACAACCTATGTATCTATGGTTTTTATTGTTTAAAATAATATTTATCCTTACACACCAAACAGGTTCAAATATCATTAGATTCTTAAAATTAAAAATTATAATGATTATATAGAGAACAAAACTGTATAACTGTATAGGTCAACATAGTATTGTGCAGCGGTGTATACACCTTGAGATGATGAGAAAATCCTCTGCATAGTTAATTTAACGACACTTTCTAAGGTGATAGTGTACGCACAAGTTTATAACAATTATCTTAAAAAATGAACTGTTTTAGAATATATGAAGTACTATGTTAACGAGTATGGGTTAACTGACAAAGTGCAATTAAGTTATAACTATTAACTACTTTTTTACAGCTCTAATAAGGATCTTAGGCACTAAAAATTACTGAGATCGTGTGGAATGTTACTTCCCACAACCTAAGATCTTCATTAAGATTTGATGTCTGCACTTTCATTTGTCCTTTGTTTTGTCCTCACACACCTATATACATAACACCGAAAATATAACTGAATTTCACAGTGCCATTTCTCTTGAAGACTTCAGTGTCATTTTTCTTGACGACTCGTACCTGCAATGCTCGCTCTCCAGCGTTCAATAACTTTCAAGAGAGTGTACAGCTCCGATCAGAGTCAGGCAATGAACGTGCGAAAATATGAAATTGCTCCTCAGTCTTCACATCTGTTTAACTGCAAGTTACGATCAGACATGTGCGCCGCCGCGCCGGTTCACTGATTCGCCACCGCCGCTGAAGGCGGAGAAAAACTGCTGTGACTTCCACCGCCGCCGCCATGCCGTTAAACTTTTGTCGCCGCCGAAGGCAGAGAAAAATTTTTTCCGAAAATTTTGACTATTTTTGTTAGTACGTTCTTATCTTAGGCATCTAGCGTGCAGCGTGTTTCTATCTTTTCGTATACGGCAACGTACAGATACAGTTGGTGCGTAAAGAACGTGCCAGAAATGAAAAGAACGTTGTTTTACTTAAACTAGGAGATTCGCCCTCGATAACCAACTTTTACACGCCGCCGCCGAAGGCGGATGAAATTTTCATAGCTTCACGCCACCGCCGCGGCCTATGTTAAAAATTTCATTCGCCGCCGCCGACAATTTTTTCATCTCTATATAACACTAAGCTAAATAGTGTATCGGTTAGAGAGAAAAATGTATTTTACGATCGTAGTCGTGGTATGATATTTATGTCTCATTTTGGACAAATATCGTGAAACATCCCATCCACAAGCATTCAAGGCCATCAAATTCACCTAACAAGATGATTCTGATGAATTTAAGACACATGAGAAGAATAAAATACGATGAGTCGATTGCAAGTATTATGCGGACTTATCCTTTCACATCGTCATTCAGGGTTTGAATGCTTAAAGACTAAATAAATGGACATTTTGTAACATATATACCACAACTGACTGATAGTTCTTCAGAAACATTCATAATTTCTGGATTCGAATGTTAGTTCAATAGAAATGTTTGTGTTTGTTCACAAAACATAAACACTTAGATTTTTTATTACACTACTGGTTTTACTACGATCCACAATTAGTAGCAATAGTCATTCGAGGTAATGATCTTGGCGACTTAGTCTTCATGCACAGGTACGTTTTTTCCAATGCATATCGTTTATTGATCTTCTAGTGGAAGAAAAATGATATTTAAATAAAATCTCTTGGTAGAAATGGTCGCACATTTCTTGAACATCGCACTTGTCACTACAATCCGGTAAAAAGTCGATAGTTGAAACAGGAATTTCAGTTAAATTGAAGATTCTCATAAAATCGTAAATCGCATATTCTGAACTTGTTAACTACCTTTTTATTCTTAAGCTGTCATACTAAGGCTTAAAATATCAAAAGGCATCTCGATTCTAGTATATTATTATAATTGATTTCTATATATATTTTTCACATCTTTTTCATCTGTTTAGCTCATAATCAGTTTACAGTTCGTACAGAAAAAAGACAAAAAGAAAACCAAACAAATACCATTAGTAAGCCACAGCACATCTAGTGTGCATGAATATATAGATAGAGCGAAACATTCATCAGCAGTTTTTTGTCACATAGTTTCATATCATAATTAGAAGAGAAAAAGAAAGAACATAAACATGAAAAAAAATGTTTAAATTCAAAAACAAAAAAATCTTTCTGAAATCCAAATAGGCAGATGATTGTGCACTGATAGACAAAAAAGCGGTAAACCTTCGAGAAAACGTTTATTGTGTCGTTGTTATTGTTGATTATATACTACTGCAATGCTCAAAAGTTTTCTACTCAGATCCAAGTTGTTGGAAAATGGAGGATCAAAAAACCTATCTAACGAAACATAGATGGACAAAGTATATATTACATGATAACTGACTTAGACCTAATAAAAAAAATGCTAAGAATAGAAACGGTCGAAGTCTTTTTAGCATGTGTTGGAATACATTTTGAACCACTAATTAGAACTTAAATCCAAGTCTACTCATTTATCTTTTATATAACCATACGTTTTTCTAAGTTTTGGGGCCAACTAGCTCTTTGCTGCTTATTTTATGTGCATTTCATCATGCAATACTTTGTATCAGCTGTATTTTTCTTTCTCTTGAAACAAAAAAAAAAGAACATGAAATTTTGTTACTAAAAAAATGAACTTCTTGTTTTTACGAATCATACATGTACAAAGAAGAAAACAAACCACGAAAAAAATGTAGCAGCAGTTTTAGATAGAAAAAAAAAGAAAAAAAAACTAGAGAAAGAGAAAGAATACATTGAATATGATTTATACTTGTGTTGACGATACGCGTACAATAAAAGAAAGAAATCTAAACGAACAAACGAGTCTTCTTGTTTTAATTGATGTTGCTGTTTGTTTATTGGTTTGCTTGTAAAGTTGAAGAAAAAGAGCCATTCATGTTTATTCATTTGTTTTGGGTATTTCTGAAAACAAAAACAAAAAACAATTGACAAAATACATGACATTACCATAGAAAAATAAAACACGATTAATAGGCGTTTAGATGCTAGAGAACCTTAATTTCAATTATAGCTCTTTATATCTTTATTTCAGAAGATTGCACGCAATTTTTAACACACAATATAAAGACAAATTAGATACCATTCTATACGTTCAAGAAATCTTATATTCGAAATTTATATGAAAAAAGTTGAATATGTGCTATTTTTGAAAAGAAGGAGCGTAGCAGTAGCATCAATCACGCTCTTTTTCTCTTCCCTAAAGCATCAGTTTTAATGCATGTAACATTGAACAATTTGTTTGAAAGCGTTAGTTTTAATATGGTTATTATATTGAGCTAATACCTTTTTTCTTTCTCTTTTAGTACATGCGTATGGTGGAGGATGAGAAAAAAGAAAAAAAGAGAAAATTTTATCTTAATCATCTGCCGATTCTTTTCGATTATAAGCAATACTATCCGCAATATCTCCCGCTGTTGTTGGAATATCATCCTGTATAGTCAGATCTCCAGCTGTTGCATGATTTGTATCTTGAGCGGATTGTTTCTGCGAAAGTCTTTGATTCTGTCTATTACCTGGTGTAGCAACCGTTGGACCACCACCTGACGTCACATTTGCCCCAACTGTTGTTGCTTGTCCGCCTCCATTAGCGGTGGCCGTATTCGTCGTTGTTGTTGATGAGGCTGCATTAGCTGCTTTTTGTTTTAACATTGTCCAATCAAATGTATAATCATATTGATGATTTAAAGTTCGAAACAAAATTCGAAACAATTGCCTCAAATACATATAATCGGGAGCTTCTTCAAAACGTAAACCACGACAATAGTTTAAATACATGGCAAATTCAGCTGGAAAACCCTTATAAAAAATAAATACATAAGACATAGTGGGATTTGTCAGTGTTCCTCTGTTAATACAAAAAATTCAGAGAGTACTTCGGTATTCATCTATAATTCACCAAAATCGAACAGTCACTCTTTTAACAAATCTATGAATGAAATAAATGATATAAAAATATCCTAGACTTACTTTACACAGAATTTCCACTGGTGTTGACATTTTTTTCTCAGAAATTTTCTCATATTTTTGTTTTTTCGTTGCTGCTTTCAAACCCTGCCATGGTAAACTACCACGATTAAAATACATCAATACATAACCTAACGATTCCATATCGTCACGACGACTACAATTATAAAAAAAAAAATCGAAACAACTCTCACTTCATCTTAGAAAATAGCTCGAAGAGAGAAGCACGCTCATCACACTAGTTCTATTTCTCACATATTTTTCCAAAAATGATATATATGTCACAGTAGAAAATATTTACGAACCTAAAATTTAAACTGAAATTCATCCTAGCCATCTTTTAATATCAAAATAATGTCATTATAAACGATTTGTTTGACAACAAATTTTGAATGAAATTTCTCATTTAGAGATGCGATATATTCATCAAGTTTAGAATAAAATAGCTCCATTTCATACAAAAAAAGGTTTTTTCATTTGACTTTATTACGAGAAATTTACGTTACATATCAAAACTCTTTTTTCTTTCGTTCACCTTTTTTCCTATATATTATCACCCGTCTAAACGTATATTTTAATTTCTACAGTAATAGAAGTTAAAATTATAATTTCTTCTAGTAGAATTTTAATTTTCACTGCAACATATACATACATTCAGAATTTATAAAAAAAATACTAAATGACACTCTGTTTAACTGATTTAATGACTCATTGATTGTTGCCTACCTTTGTTCAATTCCTAAATGTGCATTAATACTAGCATATCTCGCTGTTCCCGTTAAGTTTTTATCTTCTCTATATGGAATATGTTGTCGTGTGCGATTATCACGATATTTTTTAGCTAAACCAAAATCAATCAGAAATACCTAAAATAGAACAAAATCTTGTTAGTAAATAGGTCAACACATAACTGTGTCCTGATGAGTACTACCATTAGAAGTATAAGAATAATCTAAGATAATATCAGTCTTAGCTATGCTCAAAACAAAAGAGTTTGTTCAGTTAAGAATTAACAAAATGAACTTACTTTATTACAATGTCTTCCAATGCCCATCAGGAAATTATCGGGCTTGATATCTCTATGAATAAAATTTTTATTATGGACAAATTCAATTCGACCAATCATCTAGATTATAGAAATCAAATAATAGTTGATTAATTATGGTTTAGATGTATGTATTTACTTGATCAGCTAACATAAGAACTGTTTTCATAGTAAATCTTCGGGAACAAAAATTAAATAAATCTTCTAGTGATGGTCCCAATAAATCCATAACTAATACATTATAATCTTTTTCTTGTGCATAATATCGTATATGCGGTATACCAATTCCACCTTGTAATATTTTATATAACTTTGATTCGTACAACAATTGTGGATGTCTTGCTTTGACACTTTCTAATTTAATAGCCACTTCTTCACCATTTGTTATGTTTATACCCAAATAGATGTCACCAAATGAACCAGAACCAATTTTGCGTACCAAACGATATTTACCACCAATTAGAAATTCGGTTTTTGACGTCAAATGAATCGACGAACCAGTACCCGGCGCCAAGTCCATCGAATCTAGAATAAACACAGAAAAAAGGCACAATAAATGATTGTCATATCATTTTAGGTCGACGTACTACGAAAACTAAAAATGTGATTACATTCTTCAAAAACAGTTTTACCAATTCTATTACAAGATTCTTTCGTCTCTCCTGTCACAGTAGACAACCCGACGCACTTTTAGATGAAAAAAAATAACGTATGCGTGTGTTCTATATTCTAGTTTGATACCTAGGCTAGCTCTTCCCATTTGACTCGATTCGAATATTGAGTAAAATTGCTTAAATTCAACAGTTTAAATGATCTTCATCAAAACAAATAAAAAGACACTTAAATCATATGGTTAATTAACCTAGACCCATTCGGTTACCTGATATAAGAAATTGTCTTGAGGAAAAAAAGTTATTTTCCATAAATTAACTCTTGCAGTCTGATGAGTGCCCTAGTCTTTTTCCTAACACTGAATTTGACTCAAACAAATGTACAAATGTTTTTGACACTCGTATTAGAGGTGAGATCTGTTCGGTCTCAAACGAAAAACGATTCGATTTGAACTTGTAAAAAATGAAGTTTTGAAAGAAAAAATACTATTTTTTTCAGTGTATCGTATGATTTAGATTTATGTTGTGTTTATATTACGATTAGGTTATTACTGATCAAAAATAAATCTCTACTACAGTATGGAAGAATGTTATCCAATGGGAAGTAGATCTCTCTTTATCTAAAACATTTTTTATGCCTTTCTACGTTGAAAAAATTTTTTAATTTCAGTTTTGAAAAAAGAACCGATTCGATCGCTGATAAATACTACATCTATAAAATTAGTGCGAAATATTATAACGTTTCTGAATTACACTATGGGTTTTCTAAAAAAGAGTTTGTTTCGAACTAAAATGATTTAATTTAGAGTAATGAAAAATCATACGAGATCATAAAAATTGTTCATCGAGAAAAAAATGATCATGTCTATCTTTGTCTGCTCCTTCTTCTAATCGTAAACCATATTCTAAAGTAGAATTAACACTTGTTCTCTGTTCCCTGGATAATTTACCAACGTGTTGTTAAATTTCCTTTGTTATACGCTGCATGAACCATAGCAAATATTTATTAATAGAATAGTAAAGCGTGAAGCATAAAGATCGTCAAAATTTCGATTTTACAGTCCGAAAAATATTTCTAAAAGTATTTTGTTAGTAAAATAATAGGAATCAATCAAAGAATCTATGCAGTTGGACGTTGCATGTTCATCGATTGATTTCATGATTAGGACAAGTAAAGTACATGTAAAATAAATACGAGAAAATGGTTGAAACGAGAATAGTCGTTACCCTTTATCGAAAATACGACACACAAAATCAGTTAAGTAATGGATAAATGATGAAAACTGCTCCATAATGTTGTTACAAATCTCCCGTTCTTGTGCTTATACGTTTTTACTTCTAACAGGATAAGAGAGAGTTCTAACTGGGACCTTAGTATATACTTAAGAAGAAAATAAATATCTCCTGTGTAGAACAGTGTTCTCAAAAGTTTTATACTCAGAGTAATATTAGATCAAATGTATCTCTTACAGTTCATTAGAAAAAAGAGTCATATGGTCTATCATCTCTCTCTCTTTATCACTATTCTTAACATTTGTCTCGGTTTTTACTTATTTCTAACTTTTGCAATCGTTTGTATGTGTTCATATCGCCTAAAAAGAGTAACACTTCAGTTACAGTAAAGTACAATAAACAACACAACACACACAGTCATATTGATGTCTTGACGATAGTGGTTAGAAGAACAAGAAGAAAAAAAAGAAAAACTCTCTTTTTCTCACTTTTTTTGATAATGATGATTCTATGTTTCTTTTTTGATTTATTAGTAAAAGCGATAACTATTTTAGACACGCCGTTTTTTCTAGTATTTTGTAAAATTAAAATTTATTTCTTAACATTTAAAGAAAATTTCTATTTTTTATACTAGAGAACGATCTAGCCGATATAACAAGTAATATAATTCTCTCCGCTTACTTTTAGGTACTTAACTCTTTGGCTGCAGGGTTTATTTTTTTCAAAAAAATTAAAATTTCTATTTTGTTGTATACTTGATCATAAATTAATGTATACTTACAGTTTATTAAAAGATTTTATAAATCCACGTGTTTATGTGACGCATATTTGCGTCACCCGCAGCCAAAGAATTAAGCAAAGAATAAAAACATATTTGAGTATTTTTGTTCTCCAGAAAAACGCGATTTTTGACAAATCAAAGGTTTATCCAAATTTAGTCAGAAAACTATTTTAAAGTGTGTGTTTACTCTCATTATATGACTGAAAATAACAGAGTTTGTCTGATTCCTTTCAGAAATCTGTTTTTATACGCATATTTAGAAATGAGAAAATACTTCGAAAAAGCTGGCACAACAATCTAGCACCAGATAGAGCATCCAAAGTTGTTTCCGACAACGCTATACATTTGCATAGGCGTGATCAAATTAGGAAATTACCGAAAACAAAAAATACCCAAATATGTCTTTATTCTTTACTTAAGTAACTAAAAATAAGTAGCGAAGAATCAATACTAATTTTTATACAGGCTAGATTCTTCTCTAGTATAGAAAATAGATATTTTCTTCAAATATTAAGAAATAAATTTTAATTTTACAAAATACTAGAAAAAAAGCGGCGGGCCCAAATTAGAGTTATCGATCATTAGTGTTTGTATATACTTTTAAATCTAAGTATTTTATTAACAGCAGCTTTAAATTTTGATATAATTTTATTATTCAATTATTTTCAATATCGATGTTTCGATATATCTCATATCATTTCCAAGACAAAAAACATTTTTAAAATATAAATAAATGTGTCTACATTAAATATGAAGAGAGAAAGTGAAGAAGAAATAAATTATACTATTATATTGTCTTTTCTTTCTTTTTGAAAGTTTGACAACTATCACCATTACATAACCAAAACAGTCGAATATATGCACATATTCGACTGTAAATCCTGGTCACGTGGTGTATCGTTTAGTCATCGATTTTGATTTTAACTTTTGGTTTTGAAAGTTGCAGTCCTTCTGAATAAACTACAAGAGGAATTAAATACACAGTTCTATTGAGACTTGGCTTTTTACAAAGAATTTGCAAGGATTCACGAACTAATAGACGATATTTCATTGAGTCTTTTAAAATAATTGTCCAGCCTTTCCAATCAAGTGATAGTTGTTAAACTTTCAAAACGAAAAAGACAATTTAGTAGGATAGTTTATTTCTTTTTCATTTTCTCTCTTCATGTTTATAATGTAGACACATTTATTTGTATTTTAAAAATGCTTTTCATCTTGGAAATGATATGAGAAATATCGAAACATCAACATTAAAAATAACTGAATAATAAAATCTTGTTAAAATTTAAAGCTGGTATTAATATAATTAGATTTATCTTTAAAATTTTACTCATAAAAAAAGAATACAACTATATATTTTTTAATTTTTGGATCTGACAGAATATACCTACATCACGGTTTCAGACGTTTGACAGCGCCAGTTGTACACAGAAAAGAAAAATAATGTTTATGTCAAAGACTTTTTTTTTTCACACATTGACCTATTGATTGGAGAAGAACGAAGGAAAAAGAACGAGTAAAAAAAGCAAACAGGTGAAGGTTAATAACTTCAGAACGTATGTAATTTATAAATATCCTCGTACACTCTTAACAAATATGAGGTTGTATAATCAATTAGTGAAAAGTGTTTATTTTCTCTGTAATTGAAAGATAAACACAAATCAGACCATATCATATTGATAAAAAAGTATTTTTGCTGTGAAATTAGAGCAAAATCAAAAACAAGCTGAAGAAACACATGTGCATAATATCATAAATCGACGTTCAATATTTAAACTAACCAAAGTACATAGTGCATACTAGCACACAAATGTCTAAACTAATCTGATTCAATTGCTAACTATTGATTATCAGGAGTAATATTCACTGAGAGACTTAATTGTCTAAAAAATATATTTCGACAATAAAACTCTATTTGGTAAAAAGCAAGAGTAAAAGAATAATCTTTTCCTAAAAATATTACATAAAATGTATACAACTTTTTCAGAAAAAAATGAAATCCTACAGCGCATGAATACTAGATGGATCCCTTACAGTTCTAATTTTTGAAAGAACTTTAGCTGAATTTCGGTAAAATTGAAACCATGATGAAAGTTAATTTAAAAATACGAATGATTTTTTTGTCTGTCCATGAATTTAAAATCTATTGAACTCAAACACATAATGTATTCTATTAATTAAACTCATTTTGAACTTGTAAAGAGTTATTTTAACAGTATCTGTCAATAACAACAACATACCTGCTCTATTGATCATTTACTCCGTTTAATCCTGATGATAGATGAGAAAACGCTTGTAATTCGTTTCTAAATAGTGTGATAAAAACGACCATACGTCGTACTTTTAGAGGCTGATTTTCGGTTAGAACAACGCACAAACTTACATATTAAACTCTAATTTAACTAAACACAAGATTATCGAAAGCTAATTAATTTATTTAGACTATTTATGTTTATGAATGTCTAGAGACGGGTTACAAAGTGTCTTACTTTTTGTGAGTGATCGAACATAGATATTTGTCTCACTGAAGGGCGGTACACTTTATTACAGTATGACTCTTTTTTTTTTGTCAAAAAGTTAAACATTCGTAGTTAATGTGCACAATACAATTGCCCTTACTTCGCAGGTCTAATTAGTTTACTAAGAAACAGTCGATAGATATTCTAAGAACGTTATGGGCAGAGTGGCTTTTTTGTGGTAGCGTTTTATTTTGCGTAAACAACTATTATGTTAGAGTTTTTGTTTGTTTTTATAATTTGTTTACGGAAAAAACGTTGTTTATAACTTAAAACAATACGACGAATTTTACTTCAAAAATGGTTGTCTAATGTCTAGGCATAGAAAAACACTTTTTAGCCAAAATACTCCCAGTTTTGAGGTTTCAGACCTGGTCTA